GCCCCGCTGCCCCTGCGCAGAGCCCCGCTGGCCCCGCAGCCTCCCTGGCCTGGACCCGCGCTAGCCCTGGGGTCTGTGCAGCCTGGCCGCAGCACGGCTGTGGCCATCTCTGCTGCCTGCAGCACCCAAGGCTGTGCTCCTGCCCTCTTGGCTCTGTCCCAAGAGCCGGGAGCAGGCAGGGATGCCAGTTCCATGCTGCGCATCCCTCTGGGGCCTGGGTACCACTAGCCAGGGCTGGAGCAGGATGCAGGGCAGCCTGGGGACGGTGCTTGCTGGCCAGGACCGAGCTCCGGCAAGGCCACAGTGGCCCACGATGGCAGGAGCTGATTGTGCTGGCCCCCCCAGGATGCACAGAGCTCTGCCCCAGGGATGTCTGAGCCACCCGGACATGCTAGCCCTGTCCTCCAGCACTCGCAGCCCCAGGGCCCTGCTGGTGGAGGGGTGGGTGGTCTGGGCTTGGTGGATGCTGGGCATGCAGGGACACCCACGGGTGCTAAGGGCTGCAGGTGTCCCACTGTCGCTTACCTTCTTGTGGCCCGGCTCCTTGTCACTGGCGTTGGAGGGCTTGCGGCGCAGCATGGTGCTTGGGCCTAGAGGTGATGGCAGAGCGCTCGGAGCAGCGCCAGGCACGGCACGTACCGAACGCGCCGGCACAGAAGCCAGGAAGCAGACAGGAAGCCTGGCGGTCACATGAGAGGTGCTTGCAGCAGCTCGGCCTCAGGGAGGCTGCCTGGCTGCGCTGGTTGGGGCAGGAGGAAGGAAACCCTCCTCGAAGCTCCCTCCCTGCCCAGGGCCCCTCTCGGGTACGGGGGGGTGCCCACCTTGCACCTTGGCGCCGCCGGGGCCCAAGGTGCAAAGGGAGTCCCTCAGCGACGCTGCTACAGGCACCATCTTCCCCCACACGAAGGCCAAGAATTCCTGTCCCGTTCGCCATGTCCCCTCCTTGCGCCCAATTGTTCCTGGCAGCACTCAGTGCCCAGGCTCTTTCCGCCTGCTGCTGTAGGATACTTGTGTCGTGATGTCCTCTGCACCCATGGGAGCCTCTGCCTGTCCCCAGGTCCTCCCTGGGCCATGGTTGGGGCGCAAGCGCTGGTGGGGGAATGTGCACAGCAGAACTCAGCCCCCCCAGCACCTGCCAGGCAACCAGGCAGCTGCCCTGGTCCAAGTGACTCCCCTGCACCATTTACTCAGGTTCCCCCATCTTTCCTCAGAGCAACTTAAATCTACTCTTAATAGGCCTCGTCTCTGCTCAGGGCAAGGCAGGTAGTGCAGGCAGGGTCACACCCGTGGGTCTGGGGCCACAGATGTGCGCCCTCCCAGCTCCGCACGCCACGAGCAGGGTGGTAGCGCACAGGGCTGCCACAGTGCATCACACTGACGTGCGCACGCCCGCCGGCATTGCACATGTTTAATCACATGCAAGAAAAAAACACAGGGAAGTGCGTGATGGGGAGAAGAAGTTGCCCTGGCAAGGAGGAGGTGCGTTGCAGGGCGTGGGGTCAGGCCGGCAGCTCGGTGAGCAGTGTGGAGAGGAGGGCGGTGATGGCCAGCGTGCACAGGGTGGCGGTGGTGGTGCCGGCACTGCCCTGCAGGAAGGGTTCTGTGTTCCTCTGCAGCCAGCGGTACTCCTCCTCCAGCTGCTGGCTCTGCAGCTCTGGCCCCACGCGCTCCCGGATGGTCTTGTAGAAGGCGTTCAGGTATTGGATCTGCAACCAGGTGCTGAGTGGCGCTGCGAGGAGGCAGCCCTGGCTGCCTGCCCCATCGAACCACTCCAGCCCTCTCTAGCCGTCCCAGCCACGGAGGGTGTTTGCATGCCCTGGCACGGTCCAGCTCCATTCGCCCACTCTATCAGCCCACCCATCACACACCAGTGCACCCGTCCCAGCCCTGTTCGCTTGCCCCAGCCCTATCTGCAGGTCCCATTTGCCCACTCTGTCTGCCCAGCCTGGCCCCATGTGCCCATCCCATTCACCCGCTCAGAGCACCCAGTACCTGCTTTTGCGACAGGAGGCTGACATCGATGAGATTTCGGTCATAGGGCACCAGGGACACCACCTCAAAGGTCAGAAATGGCTTCTCCCCAGTCTGGTGCTGCTGAAGAAAAGCTATGAGGTGTGTGCCCCAGACATGCCCTGGGAGAGGCCCCTTGTCCCCAGCCTGGCACCGAGAGAGGTACCCAGAGCCCCAGCCGAGGGCTGCAGGGCTACTGTGGTGTGGCCAGCCGACAGCCCTTGTCCCAGTCCTGGGGGCATGAGGAGGAACTAAGCCCAACCTTCCACACCATGTCCCCGGGCACTGTGCCACTCCCTGACCCCGTGTTACCTCTGCACTGTGCCACCTTAGCATCATGCCACCTTAGCACCATGCCACCCCAGCACTGTGTCACCCCAACTCTGTGCCACCCCAACGCTGTGCCACCCTGACACTGTGCCACGCTGACCCTATGTCACTCTGTCCAGGTGCCATGGGCACCGCAGGCCTGCTCCCTGCCCGGCCTCATGCTTGCTGCTGTCCTTAGCATGTGCCTCCATGCCCCTTTCTGAGGACACCCAGCCCTTCTCTGTGCCTCTGTGGAGCCCCTGAGAAAAGAGGGGGACCTGATCCCTTTCCCTGCCCGTGCCAGGCCCCCCAGCCACATCCAGACATGGAGGTGCCCTTGTCCCTCAGGGCCCTGGACCACAGCTGCTCTGGGAGCCCCCTGTGGTGGGCAGGACCTTGGCACCAAGGGCCAGGGGGTCCCTGCGGCTTTGGGGCTGGGCGGCGACCCTGCAGATGCCCCAGTCTTGCAGCCTGTCTCACCTCCGAGCTCCCGCTGGAAGGAGTTCTGGAGCAAGAGGCAGCCCCAGGCTCCTTGGGCATTTGGTGTGAGGAGGAACGTTACCTCAGTCTGTGCCTCGACCACAAGGGCAATATCCTCGATGCGGATTCCAAACTCGCCATCCCGGTAGTATCCAGGCTCTGGGGGTCAGGAAAGGTGCCCAGCAAGTCTTGAGCCTCAGCAGCTCACACAGCCCCAGAAAGGCCCAGAATGGAGCAGCAAGCCAAGGCCCCTCCTCCCCTTGCCTAATCCCATGGCTCCAAGGCCGCCCCCAAGAACCCAAAGTGCTGGCAGGACCCATGGGGTGTGCAGGTGTACATACCAATGGATGTAAACATGCCCTTTGTCAGTGGTATGTTGTTGGTCTGGAAGCCCACGGGCCCTGTGGAGGAAGTGTGGTGGGTTATGGCTCCTGGGGACGACATGCACCAAGGGGCCAGGCAGGGAAGGGTCATGCTGCGAAACAGCTGCTGTGGGGGCAGCGTTCCTGCCAAGAACTGCATCACCCAGAGCCGTGCAACCTGGGGGTTGTTCACCCACAGCAAGAGGGACTTAGCTGGGCTCTGATGGGCTCCGCATGACCCACCACCATCCCTGTCCCTCCCAGCAGGGCCACGTCCCTGATGCTGCACCTGGTGGGACTCAGGGTGCAGCATGTCCCCACATACCCCCGCAGCACCTACACTCATGGACTGAGAGGAAGTTGCCAATGCCATGGCCAGTCCCGTGGCCATAGTTGAGTCCGACTTCCCAGAGTGCCCGGCGGGCAAAGGACTCCACTGTTCTCCCTGAAGGGGACGACAGTGCGGGATGGGGATTGAGAGAGCTGGTGAGGGCATCCGCCTGCCCTACTCTCCCCACCATCCATGCAGGCCTGGGCCACCCCAGACCACCCCATGCCTGGCACAGCACCCACCTGCTGTGTTGGGGGGGAAGATGAGGCAGGACAGGTCAATGTTGCCCATCAACACACGGGTGTAGGTCTCCTATGAGGGACATACGGGTGGCTTAGCATGGTATCCCCCAGTCACCCTCCCTGTGCGTCCAAACCTGGCCCCTGGTGACATCCCACAGCCCTGTGGCCAGGACCTCAGTGCTGGGCACTGCAGAGATGCCCGAGCAGCATGAGAAGGGCTGATACCTTCTGGAGTGGGGTTGGCACACCCCAGTGCATGGTCCGCGTGATGTCTGTCGTGCCATCCCTGAGGAGAGGGGAGTGAATGGGGGGGGCGACGTGGCCCCAGCATTGGCTCTGGCAGCCCCATCACCCACAGAGCTGGGCACAGCCTGCTGTCACCCTGCTGCCCGCCTTGTCAAGGGCACAGTGGGATGAAGGGGCAGTGCTGTCTCGGGAGAGCCAGAGAAGGATGGGAGAAAGTGCTACGCACAGGTATTGCCCTCCGGTGTCAGAAAGATACACTTCATCAACAGACAGCTTCCGGCTGCTCATGTTGGACGGGCTGCAAGGGAAGGAGGGTCACTGCAAGGGAGACCTCAGAGCCCACTCACAACCCCCATCCACCCACTCTCTGCCACTACTGCCATCCCTGGTGCCCTGGCCCTACCAGGGAGATGGGGCTGAGCCATACCTGTAGTGGGCAAGTGCTGCATTGAGGCCGCTGGCCGAGATGGATTCAAAGCTGGGCCCGCGGCTGTGCTTCTGGGCCCTGGAAGGCAGCAGGGAAGGATATGTGTGGGCACAGTGAGCCCCTCCAGAAAGGGCCTGGTATCCTGGCTCTGGGGGCAGTGGGTGCTGAGCAGCCAGGGGACCTCCTTGCCACAAGCAGGCTCCCAGGCCCCCTCACCAGGCATGGCACACGGGAAGACCAATGTTGCCCCAGGCATGGTGCGCTGAGGGCACCTGTCTACCCCAGGCACAGCACACTGAGGGGCTCCGGGTCTACCAGGCATGGCACACCGAGGAGGAAGCCAGCAGCCAGCGGTACTGACCAACGGAGCGCATCCACACGGCGAGCCCCCGAGAACTCATCCACCAGCCCTTGGGGGACCATCTTCTCCAGCCATAGCAGGTACTGGATGACAGCCACAGCATCCCGCACCTGCAGGCAGTCCAGGAGCATCAGAGGGAGTGAGCTGGCACCCCAGAGGGCCTCGAGGTGCCCTCCCTTCTGCTCCTGGCTGAGAGAATAGGGATAGCCCTTACATGAGCGGCCCGCAGTAACTCCTGCTCCTTGGCATTTTTCACAGCCTTGGCAAGCATAACCGGGGAATAGCGCTCCTCCAGGAGCTTCTCCTGCAAAGGCAGCCTCGAGATGGCATGACTGGGCATGGCCAGCCACCCCATCCACCCTGGTGACTGCTGTAGCACGTCCCGTGCCCCCACAGCTCTATGGCATGGGCTGACTCTGAGCGTTGGCACAACCCACGTCCCCAGCAGCAAGGCTCCACAGCCCAGGCCTTTCCAGGCCATTTGGCTTGGGCAGGTCTCTGTGGCATTCAGTGTGGCTGGGTCCTGGCAATGCCTTACCTGGGGGATGACGCCATAGAGGCCATAGGTGGTGTACTCGGTGCCGAGCCAGATGGTGACGTTGCCCTGGGCATAGTCGTGGACATGGGCACGCACCTGGCTGTACTCCTGCAGCTCCACGCACAGGGGCCCGGGGCAGCCTGCCTGCAGGGACTGCTGTGCCTCCGCTGTCAGGCGCGTCTCATCCACAAACAGGCTGGGGGCAGAATGTGTGGCTAGAGCAGGCACAATCATGGGGGCAGCCTGGCTCCTTTGGCCCCCAAGCCCAGACAGTGCATGGTGCACCAGCAGAGAGGAGGGTGCTGGGGACCGAGTGAAGGACTGCAGAGGGAATGCAAG